TGGTCCTTGACTTATGACCATCATTAGGATTGGAAATCCATTGCTAAGCATGGTGGTTGATAAGTGAGTTGCAGCTGATTTTATGACATTTTTTTGGGCCACAATTGTTAAGTGATCCACTGCAGTTGTTAAGTGGAACAGCTTGCCTTCAGAAGTTGTGGGTGCTCCATCACTGGAGGCTTTTAGAAGAGACTTGGATAGTCATTTGTCTGGAATGGTACAGGCTTGAGCAGAGGTTGGATTAGAAGACCTTCAACTCTATTCTTCTGACTCATGCAGTCCTTAAGTGAATCCAGCTTTCCTCCATTGACAGCTTGGTGCAAGCTGGCTGGGAAGGTTGCAAATCTATTTCAATAGGAGACATAGTAGGTCATGAATTTCTTTAGGAAAGTATACATGTGTGACAGTGGTGGGTTGCCCCCAATTCGCACCGATTCTATAGAACAGGTAGTAAAACCGGCAGGAGGCTTTGCCCACTGACCCTGACGTCATGAAAATGCTTCTGCGCATGCGCAGAAGCTTCTGTGCTTGGGCAGAAGAGCGTGCGCGCGGCCCTGTTGCGAACCAGTAGTAAAGGTTAGTAGAACCCACCCCTGATGTGTGATAGTTTTAAGATCAAGCTGCAAATTTGGTCCCTGGAAATCTGTTGGTAATCCATGTCAGTTATGGAGATGGAAGATAATTGGCCCTCTGTTTTATGATCAAATTGCAACTCCCACTCCCTTCTACTACAGATAATGTTACCGAGTTGGGTAATGAAACATCTGCAAGAAAACAATCAAGCTCAGAGAGCATCAAGGACCCTACAGAACAGATTGTTACATTTCATTTACCTAGAACTGTGATGGCGAACCTATGGCACGCATGCCACAGGTGGCACATGGAGCCATATTAGTGGGCACGCCAGCTCAGCTCTGGGGCGCATGTGCGCGCCGGCCAGCTGATTTTTGGGCCTTCTGGGCCCACCAGAAGTAGGGAAACAGGCTGTTTCCTGCCTCTGGAGGGCCTGGGGGTGGGGTGGGGAAGGCCCGTTTTTCTTTCTTACCTGGCTCCAGATCCTCTCTGTGTATCTGGGAACGGCGAAAACAGCCTTTCCCACTCCCTTGGAGGCCCTACGGAGGCTCAAAGGGCCCATTTCCCCACTCCTGGTGGGACAGGAAGTGACATTTTTTCCTGTCCTCAGCCTCCAGAGGCTCCTAGAGAGCTCCTAGAGACTCCTAGAGAGGTTCTGGAGGCTGGGGACAGCAAAAAATGTCACTTCCTGTCCCACTGGGAGTTGGGAAATGGGCCTTTTCAGCCTCCGTAGGGCTTCCAAGGGAGTGGGAAAGGCTGTTTTCGCCATTCCCAGATACACAGAGAGGATCTGGAACCAGGTAAGAAAGAAAAACGGGCCTACCAGGCCATCATGTGCCAGGAGTGGGGGGGAGGGGGTTGCGCACACATGCGCGTGGACATGTGCACGCGCGACCCTCCCCCGCCCCCCTCTCCTGGCACGCGATGGCAAAAAGGTTAGCCATCACTGACCTAGAAGATAACCTCTGCTCTTAGAGCAGCATAGTGGCCTAGAGGCAAAGATACTTGCCTCTCACTTGAAAGGTTGAGAGTTCAATCCTAGCCAGTGACAGATATTTCTCTATCAGGATGCAAAGAGAAAATATCTGCTGTGAACTCTGGGTAGGCATCAAGAAGGGCATCCAACCAGTAAATGCTCAGCTCCATAAAAGTCACCCCAACCCCATCCCAATTAAAAGGGATTACAGAATCATAAAAAAAAAGCCTCTTCTCTTAATCCCCTTGTTTATATTTTTCTGTAGAAGAAACAAAGTCTGCCTTGGTACCTAAAGTTTACTTATATTTTAAAACAGGGTGTAGATGAAAGAAGAGACTAATTTGAAGGTTAAATTCACAGCTTTACCATTTTTTTCATGATGGCAACATTTATGTGACACCTGTATACGTACAGTATATTTGATATTATAATCATATGCATGGGCTTTTTCTGTGAACAGTACTATGTGAGGCTTCACCTCCATCACCATGAAACTAGGGGCTTCACAGGCAGTGATTCAAAACACAACTCTAGTTATTACAACAACTAGAAAAACCACTGATGCAGAAATCTACTTGCTGCAGAATGTAAGATGGAGAATTTCTTTCTTCAATCCATAGAGCATAATAAAATGAGAACTTCTCACTTTTTGGTGAGGGTTAGAAGTGTTACTCCAATAGACCACCTACTTTCAAGCTTTTTGCTATTCATCTTACTGTTCTAGATCTTATTGCTAACTAATGAATTATGGTCATTCATAGTGAATTGTCCTAAATCATGAAAAAAAAAATTGGTTTCTTTTTCTGGCTTGTTCTGAAGATAGAAGCACTAAATCTAGGGTACTTATTCTTTTGGCTGGTGAGCAAGGGTGAAATGCTACCGGTTCGCACTGATTCAGGTAAACCGGTAGTAATAAAAGCTACCAGTTCAGGCAAACTGGTAGTAAAAAAATACCGAACCAGTATTTCTGATTATCAGTTGTGCCGCATGATTTATAACCTGCTTTCTAGCAAATATAAATCACGTGGCACAGCTGTTCCCCCCTCGCTGTTCTACTTACCTTCAAATAGCTCCTTTTTCTGCGCGAAAAAGTGTGCACTGCGCATGTGTGCAGCGTGCATTTGGTGTGCAGCGTGCATGCACATGCAGCAAACCGGTGGTAACCCATGGAGGATTTCACCACTGGTGGTGAGTATACCTGAGATTTTCAAAACTGCTATGAGCATCCTTACAAAAGGGCAGCTGCCAGGGGCAAGGGTGGCCCCCAAACATCAATTTTTGCAAATTTATGGAATCAAAAGGCTGACTAATTAAGTCACCAACTGTCCCCTCCTTGCTTCATCCAGGGATCTGAATGAAAGCATCCCGAATTTAATGAACAGAAGCTCACTATTGCTAGTTCACTGGTTCTACCACTGTCAAGCAGATTTTAGTGTAAGGATATTTCTTCTCTCCCATCAATCAGAAACTGTTTAGTTTATCTGTTCTTCCTATCACTCTCTATTACCCATTTTACTTTTATCTTTTTCATGTGCAGGTAGAGCTATTACTGAACAAAGGACTGGGACGTATTTCTTCTGTCATTTCTATTTTCTAATCCTGCTTTTAAGATGGTTCTCAGATTCCGTCCTTTAAAGAGCAGTGGGGTTTAAAATGTCTGTTTCACTTTGTAGCAATGTAGCATGTTGCCTTCCTTTTGATTATCTGTTTAAATTAAACATGTTTAACGAAAAACCAGGTAGGATGATCACAGAATATCAGAGTTGGAAGGGACCTTGGAGGTCTTCTAGTCCAACCCCCTGCCTAGGCAGGAAAAAACCCTACACCAGTTCAGACAAATGGTTATCCAACATCTTCTTAAAAACTTCCAGTGTTGGAGCATTCACAACATCTTGTTGACCTGAAGACCAAAATAAGCCATAAACCAAATAGTATCCTTAGAAGAGCTGCTCAGATGCAGTGTGAGACATTTCTTGGCGAGGAAGTAATTTCCTTGAAAAGGAATGGAAGAATGAAAAAGTGCATTTGTGTAGTCTCTGAAACCATCAATCATCATCCGTTTTTATGACAATGACTAAAATTAATCCAATTTTTCTTTTTGCCCATGTGAATGTTAGGTGATAAAAACGGGGCAAACTCATTTCTCTTTCTCTTACTCCTTTTTCTTGCCCTTCCCTGCCAAGAATGATTATTTTATTTGATTTTAGTTTGAAGCAAATTTGTACCAAACTCTTTAAGGGGAAAGTTTCCTCGGACAGAGTTTACTGCTGTTGTACAATTAGGTTTTACTTCTGGCTACTCACTCCAGATGTATGTGCTGCTTAGGATAAAATCGTATTAATAAAGAAAACTCAGTCAAACCACACTATTATTTAAATAAAGGGAAACAAACATCCACTAACTTGCTCTGGGATTTAAAACTAATGTCTTTTCTAATTACTTGCTGGGGCAGGAGAACAAACACAATCCCTTTAATAGAGGATGCATTGAAAGTAGTGTGGAATGCCAGTTTGGAAGGATTTTTTTATGGTCGAAAATCTCTCAACCCTTCTCTTCTTGTAGGTTTTTTTTTCCAAAGCAGAACTATTGAAATCAATGGACAATCATACCACCAGTCATTGGGAAGCCAAGAAATAGTATATGTATCTGCCTAGACCTTCTCTTTGCTTGCTTCTCCTCCTTCTCTTATTCCTACTTGTTATGTGTTGGAGAGGAGAAAAATCCACAAGGACACTCTGGTTGCTGGGCTAGTTATGTTCTCTTTGACAGACAAAAGAGAAATGTTCCTGGAGGCACAGAGTACCAGGGGTCAGATAAGGGGGATGGTCCTGCAGCAAGCTAGGTAGTCCCTTATTGGTTGCTGACATCCTTTAGGCTCCTCATACTTGTAAATTAGAATCTTTGCAGAGAAGATTGTTTTGCATTCTCACGAAAAATGAGAAAAAATGAAAATTTTCCTGCTGGATCACTTTGATCCAGCTTCAGCTTGTCTCAGTGATAGGTTGGTACCATGAATTGTGAGGCTATGTCATCAAAAAAATGATGCATAGGCCATTCTTATGGTTATTTTATATTCAACCTAATTCAATATTTTGCAATGGATGGCACTCAATCATTAGTCACTGGAGGACCCTAAAGTCCATCAAACAAATGAACAAGGAAGGAAAATCTTGGTGTTAGTAAGAGGCTGTATATAGGTGAGATCATTGAATCATAATTTCTCCACTTGTCTGCACCACCTGTGGCTTCCCGCAGCTAAGACATCATAAGATCTTTTTCACAGCAGTCTTATTATCATTCCTAAGATTCCCCCTCTGGTGAAATTCAGAGAAACCCATCCAATCTGCAGAAATTTTCTATTTCAAAGAGACATTTATATGCAATTTTGATATATATATATATATATAAAACTTTTGCAAAGAGAGGAAAGCAAAACCAGCAAACAAACAGATTTTTTTCTAGGCATTTTATTCACTTATAACAGAAACATTCACTTATCAGGTATCACTGAAGTGCAATTTACAGAATTTAGCAGCAAATTCACACTTGGAAATTGTTCTTCTTGTTTGTACAAATCTTACAAATGTACATCCATTCGTACCATTGTGCCATTCATCCATGCTCACTATATACACTGTCTTCTCTTTGAATTCCTAGTGCAGCGCCATTCTCTCCTGTGTTCGAAATGTGGATGTACAATTGGGAAGAAGCGTCATTACAAAATGTTGGGCTATTGCATGAGCTTTGCACTTTGAACTCAAATTCTGAAAGGACAAAACCAACATTTTCAGGGTTTTCCATGGAATTATCCAATACTCTCCATGGTCAAGTTAACAGTGTAAGAAACCTCTGTCATAATTCTTGTTTTCTTTGTTGAGTCTATATTGTCTTTAACTGGTGGATTGGGTGAACTGCTCACTCCTAAAACAACAAAAGTGCTTGTATAAGCAAAGAGTAAGGTAAAAACATTATCATCATTATTATCATCCAGAGCTCTTTAATAGACAACATATTTGCTAAGTAGTAGGTAGTATTAAAGGTTCCCCAAAGAACCATCGTCATTACTCTGACAATAATGATTAGGAGTTTAAGAAAACGGTTCAAAAGTTCTATGGGAATCTGGGTAATTAAGTAGCAAGCATGGAGTTTGTGCTGAACCAAAATGAACAGCCTTATTGGTCCTCGGGCCACATGTAAGGCAGTTCACAAAACTTCCGATGGAAGTTAGCAAGAAATTCTCTTGCATGAATGAGATCTGGGGTTATAGCCAGCTTGCGAGAAAGGAAGGGGCAGAGGCATATCTCTATATGCAGTGGGGCACAGGAAATGCCATGTATGATTGGGTTATTGTGAAACTCCGTTAAGTTTGTTTCATATATGGAAGAGGAATGCTGTACTGTTATGGAAATTCTAAGAAAGCATTACATATTTTTTCAACTATAAAGATAACTTCGGAAAAACCACCCTGTTAGTAAAATGGCACTTTAATGTGATCTATTAGCAGCTTTGGCCCACATACTGAAACACAAAACCAAGTTGCAGGGATGTTATTATTACATTTTATCTAACTTTCCTCCAAGGGTTACCTTCTCATTTAGGATTCATGTATCCGTTCTCATTTTAATCTTACAACAACCCGTGAGGTAGGTTCCACTGAGCTATTGTGACAAACTCACAGTCTCCCAGGCAGAGTTTTTAGTGAGAGGGCAATTGTTTCTAGGCAGCCACCCAACATACTATGGGAGCTTTTTACGTGCTTGAGTCTCATGGGGGGAAAAAAGGATAAAGTGATGGTCTGAATCTCATAAGAGTGTATGAGATTGATCAAAAGCATCCTGTATTTGGAAAGTTAATAAGTTAATAAAAACATTTATTTTTATAGCAGGGAAAATTGAGGAGTGGGGGCAATAGACAATCAATCAATCAATCAATCAATTCAATCAATCAATCAATCAGAATAGAGCTGGAAGGGAAAATAGCTCCAACCATCCAAATGTATTCTGAACCTGGGAGTTTTTGAGAACAGGCTCTTCAGGAAGAGATTTCATGCAATCTTATCTCCCATTTGAGTACTCAAGCCAATAGAGTTTACTTCCAAACAAACATGGATGAAGTTGCACATGGATGAGTAGAGGACAACAAATACGAAATTCCATTCATTTCAGCAAAATTTAGAGGAACTTAACTTTCACTGGATTCTTCCGGAAACTATTCTCTCCTTTCTCCAATTCTCTGGGATTTATGAGTATTTTTAGAAATTTGAGAAAGTATCTCTGTGGATGCTTTCACAACATGGCCATTAGGAAGATATTCAATCATTAAACATCCTCTTATAAAGGCAAATTGCCAGGATGCTTTCTGCCATTCCTTTTCACAGGATGTTCCCCAACACACCCCAACTTTTGTCTACTTTTCTGGAGGTGGGCATATGTCCACCCAGAGTGTTGACATTTTTAATATTCTGAGACTATGTACAAGAATCTTAGGGAATTCAAAGGCTTTCTTGGAACTAAATATAATTCTGGAACTAATGCTTCCTTTTTCTTGATGAGAGTGTTTATACTTTTAGGAAACTTGAAAGTATGTCTTCTTTTTCAAGTTGGATGGAAGCAAAAAGTATGGTGAGCCACCATGTAGCTGCCCATGGAGAAGCTCACGCAAGGTGTCAAGGAAAATCTCAGTTTCAAAATTAAACACTTGTTATCATCACAAAGCCTTTTTTTATTCCAAACTTGTTGAATTTGTATTTTCTACTATCTCTACTCTAAATAGGGGCTGTTTTTTTGGTAGTTAACATGGAATGTATTATTTGTTAAAGACATTTCTGCAAGGGGAGTGTTCCTTTTGTAAATCTAATTAAAATTTCTAGTTTATCACAATAATTGTATTTGTACAGACACTATAGCTACATCTTGTAATTTATCATCTAAAAAAAATCATTAAAATACAGCAGCTAGTCCTATCCTGTGACATTAATAAACAAATGTATTTACTCAGTATGGCTCTCAAGACCTTATATACAGAGCATCTAACTTTATCTGCAGAAAATGGGTAGCATCAAGGGAGTTCTAGGGAGAGCTCTCATGTAACAAGGGCGAGAATGAACTCTGCTCTTGTGTATGAGACCTATGTCGGTTGGATAGCTCTAAGAAGATACACCAAGACAGATCAGGAACAGCACGTTCATATATACACAATTCATGAAAACTAAAAGTTAGAAACAATAACGCTACACCCGCACATCCTGTCATGTGAAACAACAACAACAAAAAAAGAGAGAACTACCATTTGGGTAGAGACTAATTCTGGAGATGCTTAGATTTTCTATAACTTCTTGGGCAACCTAAATAACATCTACATCAGGTGAATATCATACCAATCACTTAAGGTATCACCAGTCCAACCTGGTGATGTTGGACTACACAGTGTTAAATGAAGTTGATATTTGCAGTCCAACACATTTGAAGAACATCCAATTGGAAAAGTGAATTAGTTTTTTTTTTTCATTTTCGCAACAATGCTCTAAAACATGTACCTTGATCGAGGGCAGCAACGGAGGACTGTTTAGCATATTTAAAAATAATGCCTGGATTCGGACCTCAATCACTCAAGGAGAAAGTTGGATGGTGAAAGAAATGTTAGGCCTTTGGTTGGCATAACTGTGCTAACTAGGAAACTGAGGAAGCCTCGTTCATAGGATATTGTGCTGGTTGAGGCTGCCTTCAGGTCTACTAGATATTAGAAAACTGATCATAGCTATGAAGAAGAGTGATCTTATCAAGGTTAGGAATTGTGCTTCCAAACAATCTATAATGTCTAGATGGGCTTCAAATTATCCCTCATTTAGAATCTAGGCCAACAGATTTGTGGACGAACATGACAGAGGAGGCTCACTCTGCATCTTTGGTCCACATAAATTAGAGAACTTTCATACCATACTTGATAGACAAAAGAATATGAGCAAACCGTGTAAGAGTAGAATTAGCATTCTATTTGGAGTTCTTCTAATATCAATATATGCCAATTCCTCCCTCAGAAAAATGTTCCAATTCACACTGTTGACATTAGAATATTTTAAACATACAACTGAATTGCTTTCCATTGGCATTTGTGCAATACTGACATTCTTTTCCAATTTCTGCAATTTCAGATTTTTGAGCTGACTGGTCCTAGACCAGATTGTAGTAAGGATCTCAGAAGATCCAAACGCTAAGGATTGTACAAAGACAAAAGGGGTGCTGTTGCTTACAGATATACTGAGTTTGAGAGTCCTAATTAACGTCTTTTTTATTCTGCTTATGAGTTGCAAGCAGATAAATGAAATGTAATGCAGCTTGACTTTAATATGGTATGTGCATCTGGGAGGTTCTGCTGTAATGTGCTTTCAACCAACTTAAAGTGTGCAGTCGTCTCTTGCAACAACGGGGCCCATCTGTGTGTCTCTTTTAACTAGAGTGCAAAAAAAAAAAAAGGTGGTTTCTGAGAAGCATGCAGCACAACATCCATCTGGTGCAGGATGTGATGCCCTTGTCCCAGAATTGCACCCCTACCAAACTCACTTGTAGTCCTCTCATTTCTCCCAGCCTTCTATAATCCTGCTCTATCTTTTACCAATCCTTTTGGTAACTTCTCAAGTTCCTCTCAGTTTTTCAGATCATTTCCTGTCCTCTCTTTCTTGCCATATTCCAGCTGGAGCCAACATCTTTGCCTCTCAACTCTTTTGCAATTTCTTCTTATTGATGTGTCTTCTACAATGTTTTCAATTTATAGCAGGAGTCTCCAAGCTTGGTATCTTTAAGATTTGTGGACTTCAACTCTCAGAATTCCCAGCCAGCAGAAGTCTTAATTCCCTCCACAAGTCTTAAAGTTGCCAAGTTTGGAGATCTCTGATTTATAGAAATTAACACTATCTTCCTTCTTCTCAGAACTACAGTTGCCTCCCATGAATTGGAACCCAGAGGAGAAAGATGGACCCATATGTCAGTGGCAGGCAGGCTGCTCTGTAGCTATGTTCAGTCTGCCTAACTAGAGACCTTCAAAATGGCAGCTGATGGTTCTCACGTGTTGAATATTTGTTGAGTGCAACCAGCTGCAAGAACAGGATAGTTATGATGTGGCATCAATCAATCTTGGAACCATTATTTCTTAAATGCAAGGTAAAGACATGCAAGCTTTTCCTTGCTTCTTTCTGAAATATTATGCTCCTTGCAGTGAACACGCAGAAACTTTTAATCTAAACTTTGGGCAATATCTTGTTTTTCTATTGCCCTGATTTTGATGTACTGAGCAGATTTTCTAAAGCTCTGGGGTTCCACTGTGTAGGCTTGCAGTCTGGAATCCCACCTCTTTCCTTGCTCTCACACCCATACAGAGAGACACAGACACAAAACTTTCCATGTTTCCGTGTATGCTAATTCCTGCATGTGTTTGTAGCCTAGAAAAAAAATCTCTCGTCCTCCTATGATAATTATTGCACTGACGGTGAAGAGGAACACCAGAGGGCTGATGGTTTTGTTTGTTTTTCAGCCAGACGCAACTTGCAACCTGCTGTTGCCTGAAATACAGGTGCTGCTTAGATAATTACAGCAATGTGCTACAAACAAGGAACAAACAGTGAAGGTCGTTTTTGTAACCTGGGCTTGTACATCCTTGAGAAGGGATGGGTATGTAAAAGCAGTTTCCTAAAGGTTCAGTGCATTAACCAGAATGTATCTCATATCTAACACATTTAGATACAAGGTTCTGACTTGGGTTGAACGGGGTCTCACATGACGTCTCTCCGGCTCCCGTAGAGTATTTCTCTTTCCTCCAGTCCTTTCAATTTGGTCATGTTACCAAGATGCCAAATGATTCACACCACGAGTAGAAATTGATCTTGCTCTGGGGGTTTTTTCACCCAAGTGCCCAAGCCTGCCTTCTGAAATGCTCTGAACAGCTGCTGTTTGGCAGACTGATAGACATGTGCCACCAACTTGGCCTCGCTGTACCCTGATGGCACTTCTCCATGGCTTGATATCGGTGTGCTCAGCTGCAGGGGGAAGAGAAGGGAGGGGGAAATTCAGATGCCAACGAACAAAGAGCTGAAGCATCGTCCCCTTCTGTAGCTTTGTATCACCATTTCATCTGCCCCTCTTAAGCTACAAAGAAATTGTGAGCTTTACACGTAACAGTATTCAGGGAAAAAATATATTTGAGAAGATCCACGTCTCACTGCGCAGACGATGCCAGACTACCATCTTCACACAAAAGGGGATTTTGGAGAGCTCAACCAACCAATATTGTACATCATTGGGAAAAATGCCCAGAGCGCTATGTGTGTAAATTCTACCAGTTAATTCACATTCCTCTTTTGGATAGATTTTTTTTTTTTTGGAAGCATTGTAAAGCCCATGACAAAGAATGGCCATTGGAATGCGTTAGTTCTTTCCAAATGGACTCTCCATTCTTCTAAATGACTCCATTTTGCTTATTTGGAAGGAACTAGAGTATTTTGAAGGCCACGTTCATTTGTCATTTGGGAAAGAGAAACAAAACCAGAAAGGCTGCCATGTTCAGTGGCATGAATAATCCAATATGTTCCTAATAACAACCAACAAAGGTATTGCTCATTTTTTTAAAAAAAAATTCATAGCATTTCCAAATTCATATTCATAGAAATGAAACTTCATTTCATCTGAAATTTGTTGATGCTTTATTTAAAAGCCAATCATTTCTCTAAATTTCTAGGTGAGAAGGGGAGGAATAGAATTTCTCTCCCCATTCTCAAAAAAGTCAAGATGGCACCAATGCAATTGTTGCCTTTCTCCCTCCCCCCTTTTAAAACAGGGTGGGACTTTGATCATGCAAAGAGCATGTTGACTTTTTTGAATGAAAAAAAAAACCCAATTCTTTTATTTTTGTTGTGATTTTTACATGTATCTATTATTTCTGTTGTGTTTTCCTAGGGTGTTAAATTAAAAACCAGCTTTGTAAATATACAAACGCTCAAGACTCCATGTCAGCTTTGAAAAAGAAAAATGACATTTGGAGAAAGGATTTAAATAAGAGAATATTTGTGACAGAGAAAAAGTGATGCGTCAAGTGAAAGCACAAGTAAAAAAAAACACCCCACCTTTTTTTTCTATGTTGTACTGATAACAAATGCTATAAGAGAGAGCAGTAATCAAGCATCAAGGATGTACTAAATGTACAGAGTGGAGAGGTGGTACTGCTGAGCAGAAATAGTTTACGAAATAATCTGCAACCCAGGTACTTGCCAAAAGCAGCTTTTAATGTGTAAGACACACCTTTGTAATACAATGATCACTTTCAGCTCCTGTGCCTGTGGAGATTCTCAATCATCCAGGTCATGGTTGTCCCAAAGGTGCTTTTCTAAAAGGCAACCAGATTTGGGTTTTTTTCTTGGAAACATTTAGCTTCTCATCTTTTAGAAGCTCTTCAGTTCTTAGATGAGAAGCAAAATGTTTTTGAAGTTAAAAACCAAGACAGTTGAATTACCTTTTGGAAAATGGCATCTTTTAGGACTTCTACCCCACTGTGCATCTAAGGTTGGAAAAAAAATCTTTGTTTTTTGTTTTATTAACTTCTTGTTTTGCACAATTAAATTAATGACCTTATTTCATAATCATAATTGTAAGTTTATTTATCAAGCATATATATGTAGTCATTGACAGGAAGGACATTGTGGCAGATAATTTTATGTACCATGCTTAGTCAGACTGAAGTCGGCGTAGTTCTAAGTTGTCTAAGCCCAAAATTTGGAGTCTGGTGGCATAAGGTATTTTATTTTAGAGGAATGGAGGACTCTTCTCGTAAAATATCTCTGGACTCTTTCAATTGTATTTATGTCCAATAAATACAATATGGACACAATATGACCAAAGTAAGAGTGAAAATTTAAAATGTGGGGGAAATTATGGAGTCTGGAGAATCCAGTAGGAGAGCAAATATCCAGTCCTGAGGATGTTCCTTTCATGACTTTTTCGCACTTCCTGAAACTCAGGGATGCGTACAGAGGACATGGGGCATCTTGTCAAAAGTAGAGACATAAGACATAATTTTTTTATTCATTTCTTTATTTCTGCTCTGTTTTCTTCTGATGGGAAGCTGACTTTGTCAAGCCTCCTTCCTATAGGAAAAAGAGGATTTTGTTTCTTTCATCCTTTCCCCAATTACGTGGATAGACCCTTCTGAGAGATTCAGGTGTTCTGTGGCACCATGTAAGCTTTTTAATAAACTTTACCTATTTATTCAAGAATCTATTTTTGCATCCTCTTAATGGTCTTGGTTCTACCCACACATGCACATGGTCTATTGAATACTAATGAATGGACCATTCAAGTCCAATCAGGCCTATCTCAGGGTTGATAACCTAGGAAAGGTATTATCTGCTATTTTTTTCTTTCTCTAAAGTTGATGCAGCCAAGGTGGAAAAGAAATGTTACCAAAACCACACAATCGCTCCATATATATATCTAATGGTATAAAGATATTTTGAGCAGAAGGGGACAAAAAAAGGACATGGCCTTTATAATTAATAGACTGCAACTTTGCGATATACAATAGGGAAGAAAGTACTGACTTAGATGCTTTTAGAAGCATTAGAGAAAGGCTTATCCTAGGCTTATGGAAATAAATGTCCTGCTAACATTTTTTAAGAGAATATATCTCTAGCCATATTTGGAAAAACAGCCATAAATTAGGTGGCCTATATTAGATTTCTTTGATTCACAGTTAGAACAAATAATCAATGGAATGACTTGCCTCCAGAAGTTGTGGATGCTCCAACACTGAAGATTTTAAAGAAGAGATTAGACAACCATTTGTCTGAAATGGTATAGGGCTTTCCTCTTGAGCAGAAATGGAAGGATTCATATTCCTTGCAGACAGCTGGTCATTTGCATTTTTTTAGTGAGTCGTTGAGGCCACCTGGACATATATCTGAATCTTCCTGATGATAAATCTCCAAGTGGCCTTAATGACTCACTAAAAAGAATGCAAATGACTAGCTGTCTGCAAGGAGTATAAAATTTTCTATTCCGCACCATCCAGTTAGAGTTAAAGAAGCTTCTTGGATGAGAAGCAAAACATCTTCAAAGAAAAACAAGAAAGTCCAGTTGCCTCTTGAAAAGAGAACCTTTGGGACAACCATGACCTAGATGACTGAGAATCTCTATAGACCTGACTCTCACATTTGTGGTCCATGATATTTGGACAAGAAATGTCAATGCTAAAATACTGAATCTCCTAGGATAAAGATTTGTGGTTGATGACTGTGAGAAGAAGCAGGAAAGATATCCTCCACCACTCAAACGACCCAGTTTTTTCACATTCACTGGGTGAGTGTGTGCAACTCACACTTACCTTTCCATAAAGCTTTGCCCACTGAGTGTAAAACATGTGCTTGCAGAGTCGTGAACAACTCCCACAGTTTTTTTTCCCTGTTGTGGCATTAATAACCTCTAAGTCTGCTGTGCCTGCTATCCAATTCATGCTGAAACCAGGAGATTTCCCAGCCCGTCTTCTTTCAGCGTTACTCACTCCTGTCAAAGGGAAAGCAGAAAACATCAAGCATTAAAAGCAGTAGGTTTGAAAAATAAGAATCAGAGCTTCCATTTTATTGGGAAATAAGCTATATTTCCATACCTATATATATATACATCAATATATTCTAATCCCTTGGCTGGAATCTGCTTGGATCAATATATGCTTTTAAGAAGTATTCAATTAATGTTGCCAAAATGTAATTAAGATTCCTGTTTTCATGTATACATTTTGACAGCCTTTGAACATATAAAATCACTGTCTCGTTGACAATGGCTGCTTTCTACAAGTGTTTCATATAGAGAAAATTCTAAATTAGGGCACATTAAAAATAAAGATAACAGGTATTGGTCCATGGGATAGCCAGATTCCAAATTTTGTAACAGAATAATATATATAGTGGGATCAACCAACATGACACACAAATGGGAAATCAGATTTTTTTCACTATGAAAAGTAATAGACAAAGCTGTTTTGGTTGCCAAAGATTTTATAAGATTTCTTATATTTTCACTTTTTATTATTTTATTCTCATAGCCCAAATAAAGCTGTTAACCATTTTATTCTTAAAAATGATTTTAAAATAGGGCAAATACTCAATTTTTAAATTTTGTTTTTTAATTTTTATCCAACAGCATTCAAATCAGTCTCAGAGGCATCACTGCATTACAGATTCTTAATAATTTTAACCTTGGTTTAATAAAATCAACAAAGAAAGAAATACAGGATAAAATATATAATTTCTCGTTATTATGCTACCCCACATATACTACATAGGTCTTTGTGAATGATGCAAAGGCAGTTCAAATAGTTTGATCTGGAAAATTAATCCAATTGTCAATGTACATCAATCTGGAAATTCAGTTCAATTCAATTTCTTCAGACTGAATCAATGAAACGGTTAGATTAGACTTGAATTTCAGAATCAATTTGGCACAAATTGTTTCTGTGCATGGATAGAAGCACCCAAAATCATCCATATCAATTCAAAACATCCAATTTGATAATACAAATTAAGTATCTAAGTCGATTCAGAAAGCCAATTTGATCTGGAGATTGAACTGACATGCCTTTAAATCAAGTCTCCAAATTAAATATCTGCATAGCTGAATAGATAAAACAGCTTTGATATATATGGGGATTAAATGAATTATAGGTACTGAAACATTGTATACATTTGCATCAGTTAGAGGCAACTGGAAAATACACTTGAAAGGGTCACTTATTAAAAATTTATTAAAAATCCTCTGTATTTCTGAGCTTCTATATACCAGAAGGAACCCATTTCCTTAGCTAAGTGGCAATATCCTAAGTGACTGTGTACAGATGAATCAAAATGAAAATATAATTGAGTTATTATTTCACGCTGAACTTGTAATCACATTTATGTCATATTAATAGCAATCTCCATTTCTTCACTATGATAACTGATCGGTTTCTATCTTAGGGGGAATATGCTATAAAGTAAATGTCATTCTTACACCATGGCGCTATTTAAATACATCTTTCTGACAACTGTTACACATAGATCTCACTGTATGACTTGACATGAATGTGTCAGCCTCTGTCAGAATTATGATTTAACTTAGTGGATAGTGTGCCAACCTATGACAGTATGTGCCAGATAAGGCCTGCCTAGGATAAAGCCATAGGTAACAGAACAAACATAGATGCAGCAATCTAATGATCAGAAGAAAATAAAGCATTTGGTCGAATTAATAGCTGTTGTATTCAGGCACTACCAAGGATTTCAGAAGATAAAAGCTAAGCACAAATGGTCCCCAGTTACTTCCTATCAAGAGATCAACATTTCTGTTAGAAAATAAAAAGAAATGAAAGCTGAGAGAAGTTAAAGTCTGGTTGTTAATAAATATATTTGGTGAGCAGAGATTGCAGCATTTTTATCCCTTGTCTTCCAAAAGCATATTGGTGTGTGTGTGTGTGTGTGTGTGTGTGTGTGTGTGTGTGTGTAGAAGAAGATTTAGGGAACTTGAAGAAATTAAATAGAAAACCACTGTAGCAAAGTACTAACTCTAAGCTGTGGTAACAACCTCTAATCCTCTTCCTGAGGAGAAAATAATTGGTTTTAAATCTGGGAGACCTTTGCATCCCATCCATTTTTAACTCCATTGTATGTCCTTGGTTGGTAAGTCCCCATCTCTAGCCCTAGCCTTACATTTCTGAAGTCTGAGCAATTAAAAAAAAAAACATTCCTCAGAGGGCTGAAAAATACAACGGATTCTTTGCAAATTGAAAATGATAACTTGTTGGAATGAACTGGAATGAGTCTTTAATGTATTATCAGAATGGATTACATATTGTTAATGGAGAGGACAAAAGAGAACACAAACCGGGACTTATTAATTAATAAGGAAGGCCATCTAGCTCATGGGAGTTATTTTCTGGTCTTACTCTCCCGGTACTAATTGGTGGCTCAAGACTCTTGTTCTCCTACTTTAGATCCTTTACCTTTAAAAAAAAATCCAAAACATTTAAAGGCCTAAATTTCTCTTGCCCAAGTCGTGCAAACACTACCATGCAGGGAAAGCTCAAAGATCAGTACACTCAACAAATCTGGGGAGAAACTCTTCTGTTGAAATACTAGAACATCAAAGTCCAAGCAGACAGCACTAGGTGAGGTTGGCCAATGGCTTGACTCAGGGGTGAAATGCTCCTGGATCGGACTGGATCGCCCGGTCCGGGAGCGATCTTGGCCAGTGGTTCAGCGATCTGGTAGCAATGGCGGAGCAAAGCTCCATCCACCCACCCGGGTGTCATTACTTCCTGGTTTTAACCAGGAAGTAATGTATTTTTTACCTTCTGCGCATGCGCAGGTTTTGCACATGCGCAGGTGTGTGTGCGCATGTGGCGCAGGTGCACGCCACGTGCACTTCCAAACCTGTTAGGAAGGCAAGTAGATTTCACCCCTGGCTTGACTCATTATTAGATCATAACATATAGAGGTCGTATTCAGCCGGTTCGGACTGGTTCGGGTGAACTAGTAGCCCCGGCTCTAGGCTGTCCTATTTAGGCACGTTTTTTGAGGCCGGGCGCATGAACGGAAGGTGCGAGCAAAGCGCATGCACAGAAGGCCGGGCTCTCACATTTTCAGTACTGGGTGAACCGGTAGGTAAATTATGTGAATCCCACCTCTGATAACATAGCAATGGAAGTATATTTGTTTCATGAACTAGGGCAGTGATGGCGAACCTTTTCGGCACCGAGTACCCAAACCAGAACGCGTATGCATGTCTGAGCACCAGAATGCCGGAAACCTGAAGAGCAGCTGGTCGGGGCGCATGCATGCACTGGCCAGCTGGTCTTTGGGTTTCCAGCACATGCATGCGCGCCGGCCAGCTGATCTTCACATGCGCTGGAGCACCAGAAACCGGAAGACCAGTTGGCCGGCGCTCGCATGCCTGTTTCTGGCCATTTTTCTGGCTGTTTTCAGGTGCCCATGAAGACCAGTTGGCCGGCGCATACCGGAAATCAGAAGAGCAGCTGGCGACTGTGTGTGCCTATAGAGAGGGCTCTATGTGCCACTTCTGGCACACGTGCCATAGGTTCACCATCATGGAACTAGGGTGATTACCCTTTTCCAAATAAATTTACATTTTCTTCAGAGGAACTTTACAGGGGTTATGTCAGCGATAGACAGACTATAGCCAAAAGTAGCTGTTACTTACACCCATCCCTGTTCCTGACATCCATCTGCTCTGCTTTTTCTCCTGAAGACACTATTTTCTTAAGTTTCTATCAGCATCCCAAATGGACCAGACAGAAAACTCCACAAGATAAATGATTTCTACTTTATTGTAAGGCTACATTAATGGAATCTTACAAGTCTGAAAGTACAAATCTCCCACCATTTCTTTTTATTGGCTGATAAGTTGGGGAGGATCCTTTCTAAGTTTCTTTCTCTGCCCATTAGTCAGTTGTGAGCCTTCTTTCTTTCTTTCTTTCTTTCATTTATTTTACATATTAGATAATATTTTACATATTAGATAATATATATAAGTATAAGCATGAATTGAATACATAAAATGAATACAATTAAAGGGACGCTCTTATGCATGCCCCTTACAGACCTCTTAGGAATGGGGTGAGGTCAACAGTAGCCAGTCTAAGGTTAAAATTTTGGAGGTTTTGGGATGAAACCACAGAGTCAGATAGTGCATTCCAGGCATTGACCACTCTGTTGTGAAAGTCATTCCTAAAATCATTCCTAAATCAGCATCTCCTTCCTCCTTTTCCAAAATCATTCTCACATTGTATTACAATTTCTGAGTCACATTCTCTTGCCACCCCGCATACTAAAAAAATAATAATACAAATGGATGAAGACTTTCAAATGGGCTGAGAACTGGTGATTACAGGTTGCCAACCCCATTGTTTGTTGAATTACAAAGATGTCTTCGTTGTGTAAATTAAAATGAGCACCATCCTTTCTTTCTTTGTGAGGCTAATGATGAAAAGAGATGATCTCAATGCTTCCAGCATGATCGTCTGCAGGCAACAGTTTTCATTTGATCAGTTCCACGTTGAGCTACAATCCTCCACTAACTGAGAGCTTGGAACTCCCAAAAGGCTGCACATGGAAGATTATTCCTAAAGGGGGCTAATATTGCATTAGGTGCTCATGAGTTCTACAAGAACCAACCAATAATAGAAAGAGCAAGGAAACATGCATATAGCAATCTAAGGATATGGGAAAGGTGAAAATTCTAGGCAGAATCTGCCATTTTTAGCTGCAGTCCAATTTTGACACTAACTAAATCTCCTACCTGAAAGCATCCTTAATTCTAGACCTTGCCCATCTGGCATATGCAGGATGTTCAGTGGCTTGACACAGTCTTGCTTCTTCAATGAATTTCCATTTCATACAATATTGCACTTAGCCCTTTAAGATGATGTGCTTAACCACATAACTGAATGGTGAATAGGTTTAAATCTGCTCTTAAGTAAATTTTATGATCCGAGGCTCTAGTTTGGCTTTCATACTTAATTGGTGCTTTAAGTTCTTTGGCTAAGAACAGGTGTGTGTGTGTGTTTATCGATCTATCATCTGTCTGTCTGTCTGTCTGTCTGTCTGTCTGTCTGTCTGTCTGTCTGTCTATCTATCTATCTATCTATCTATCTATCTATCTATCTATCATCTATCTATCATCATCATCATCATCTAATCTCTTGAAGAATAATGGAAAATTGCTTTATTGGATAAAGATTATACAGTATCTAACTCTAAAGCCTTTCTAGTCATCCAATGATGTATTTAACAATGGTTAATGGTGCAAGCCATTAAAAAAACCTAGTATGCATTAATCATAGAACAAACTGCTATAAAGGTCTAATTCATATATTCACATAAAGCCACATGGGAAACCATTAATATAAACAGTACCCTTTCAAATACCAAAGAATTTAAACAATGCTGAGTCAGGAACTCTTGTTTTTCAGTTTGCAGCAGCAAAGTTAAAATTCACTGGTATGCTCAGTAATTTTAACTATTTTGTGTTATGTTTCTGGTTAGGGAAAGTATGGATGGCCAATGTCAATGAACTACTGATGATAAAGGTAATAGAAGGAGGGCTTTGAACAAAGAAGAAAGATATCATTTGACCTGGATTAGATTAGGAGGTTTTATACATATGTCTGGAAAATTTAAAAATTTAAATTTAAAGCAAGCAAATAAATGTACAACAGCATCAAATAACAATAGTTGAGGTCACCAGAAAAGCAAGAATCAGAACTTTGTATCTCCCTTGAGCTCCAAAGTGGTCAAAGAGGAAGTAAAGAAGAAGAAGAAGAAATAAATGCAATGTTCTCCTTCATACCCCATACTGATTATTCTAGAGAAGTGTAGTAGAAAATGGGGAGATAATCTTGAGAAAGGAATGCAGGAATGATTAAAGGAGAAGAAATGACAACTTAGTCTGAGGAAAAGAAAAAACATGAAAAGGAAACTCAAAATATTTTCATTTTGATTTTGTTTGGTGTAAGAGAGAACAAAGGGAAATTCTGGATGGCCTTCAAACTTCTGTTTCTATACTATGTAACCAGAAAGTCCCATTCCTATATTCCTTATGGTTTCTCTTTCTTGACTTATCTTACCTTGAAGAGCTGATCAACAAGAACTCTTCCTAGGAAAAACAAGTTATTGTGGACTGAAATAGGAATAGAGGAAGGAAGGAAAGAAACTGTTTCAACTTCAACTGTTATAACCTTAAGGATAGCCCGAATCATTATTAGTGACATAAAACAACAAGGAGGATAAAGTACTTTAAGATGTGTGATGCAGCTTGGAAGGGCTGTTTTAGAGCCCAGTAATACAAGCTGTAGGAAGGCAGACAATTTATGCTTCTAAGTCAACATGAGCTTACCACTCAGGAGAAGCTGATTACACCGGTATGAAGCTGGAAGTTGACCAACATCTTCTAATCTATGGCTCATTACCCGTGAAAGGTGACCAGTGTGAGAGAGGCTTCCCACAATAATGCTATGCAAATATACTGGCTCGATGAAGTAGCTAAGAAGCGCGCCTTGTAACCCAAGGACATTCCATCTGGAAAAGAAATTCAACAGTGAAAAAGATGTTCTGCAAGGCAGGAAATTAGAGGTGAATTACATTGCGGGTAACAAAATAATATTCAGAGAGATGGCAAAGTTTATTAGGTGGATGCATAGGTTTATTTTGCAGAGAAAAATCTCGAGTGGATGCAGGGGGTATGTCTGGGATGGATCAAGCTTCCCCAATCTGATGCCATCCAGATGTGTTGGCACTTTAACTCCCATGTTTCCAGTTTCTGGATATCTGGAAGACATCAGGTTTCGGGAGCTGGAGCTGATAAGTTTTAGAATTAATATTATAATGCTAGGAAAAATATGATCCTGCTTAAAAAAAACTTTTTTGGGATACTTCATGATAGGCAAGAGTCAGATATGTGAAGAATACTATTACATGTCTCTCTGTGTCTATGGACTGCTATTAATATTTAGTTGGCCTCCAAAACCTCAAACTGCTCAGTTTCATGGTATCATAGAGAACATCCTTTTCATCTCTCCTGTTTATAAAATTATTGTGTTGGAGTTCATCCTGGAAGCCCTCCTTCATTGAGATCAGAATGGCAAAGGACTTTTCTTCAATAATGGCACCTACCTTGTGCAATGACTTTCTTTTCTAAGTTGTAGAAGGGTGAACACTAATACCTACCTGCCTTTTGAAATGAAGGCTAGGCTTCTCTATTTGGTCAGAGAGTTTGGGGATTGCCTAAAATTAACATAACAATTCTCCTTGTAGACAGTTTATCGATATAAATTTCCCTCCTAGAGAGTTTATCCATATTCCTAACACTCCATCCTGTTCTTGAAGAACACGCCATAAGAAAAACTGCCACACAAACGTTGTCTTTAGTGGGTTTAATGATGATGAGCTGAAATATGGGAGACATTTTAGAAAAGGTTAGAGAGATTTTGCTATTTAAGGCAACATCCAGTGGTTGCTGTGCTGGAAAAAAAAGCATTTAAAGTGCAAATCTGTACCAGCAGGAAGCATTATGTAGCTAATTTCTTACATCATTGTTCTTTTCATTAATTAACATTTCTCAACCGTTAGTGCTATAATTGCAGTGCCTCTGTGCCGTACGTCTCTTTCCATGATTAATAAGGAGCCATTATACTTCCCTTTCCTGAAGCAGTCAATTAACACGAAATACTTTCCATTAATTACTGAATGTTTAAAACCAGCATGCTGTACCTGGAGAGCAATCTGCTCAAGGAACCTGTGACAAAAATTGCTTTCAGAAGTTCTTTTTACATTTTATTCCTCTCTCTCTCTCTCGGTCTCTTTTTCTCTCTCTCGGTCTCTCTCTCTCTCTCTCTCTCACACACACACACATACACAAAAGAGCAAACCACAGGCAATTTAGTTGGCTATATTAATTTGCTTTAGAAGCAAGGCCTGCGAATGAGAAACATCTTTTAATCTCATGGAAGACAAGGCAGCCATCTGGCTGCTAAGGATTTCTGAGTGAGACTGCCCCTCTCTTTCTCTCTAAAATGCAGGTCATTAAAGTAATGTGTTCATCCTACATAAAACTCAAATGGAAGATAAAAGGTAATATTTATATACAAACAATTTAGTCCCACCATTTAAACAGTCATTGGTTTTATGAAACATTTACTTTAGTCTATCAGATTTGCATATTTTCATTTGGGTTTGTGTGTTTGGGGGGGAGGGGAAATGCAAGCATATATGATCATTTCTGCAGATTATCTGTCTATTTACCAACCAACCAACTTATTATGTTTAAAGGCTACTCTGTACTAAAACAAATCAGGAATGAAATCAAAGGAAACTGGCAAGCTTTGCAAATGTTAAACAATTTTAGATTTATTTAATAACAAGAGATCAGAGATTCTGTTTTGGTAGAAAAAGATAGATTATCTCAAAATTGTTTCTGCAAAACATCTAAGACAGAACGTAACATCTAAGACAGAACCTTAATGCCATCAATATTTTCTTCTTATTAATAAGATGTGCCCTGTCTAATCTTACAATGGCCATCCTGTGATTATGATCCTTTCCATTAATCATTCTACTGTATTCAGACTTATATAGTCTCACTAAACATGGAAGTTCAATATAGTAGTTTAGGATCTCTGCTGTAAAATAATAAAGAGGACCTTGGAGGTCTTCTATTCCAACCCCTGCTGAAGCAGGAAACTCTATACCATTTCAGACAAATGGTCATCCAATCTCTTCTTAAAAACTTCCAGTGTTGGAGCACCAGTGGTGGGTTTCTCCCGGTTTGCACCGGTTCGCAAGAACTGGTAATAAAAGTTTGTAGTAGTTCAGAGAACCAGTAATAACATTGGCTGGCTACGCCCCCGAACCGGTTCCCGGTCCGGTCGCCGTTTGCTTACCCCGCCCACCTCATCAGAGGCTTTTTTTTTTTAACTTTTAAAAGCATTTTTTCTACAACCTCTTTGGCTGAAAAAATGCTTTTAAAAGTAAAAAATAAAAGCCTCTGATGATTGCGTGGCTCAGCTGGGATCGTCAGAGGCTTCTGAAAGCATTTTTTTCTGCAACCTCTTAAGGTTGTAGAAAAAATGCTTTTAAAAGTAAAAAAAAAAAAAAAGTTGGCCATGCCCACCCAGTCACATTACCCCCACCAAGCCATGCCCACAAAATAAGCCACGCCCACAGAACTGGTAGTAAAATTTTTTAGAACCCATCCCTGTGGAGCACCCATAACTTCTGGAGGCAACTTGTTCCACTGATTAATTGATTAAGTGATACAGCTTGGCTGTTCAAAATTGCAGGGCATGGCATCTGACAGGTTCATGAAGCATCAGACTAATGGATTCTTGTCTTTGGGGATATTTCGCTTCCCTGGAGTCTCAGGCAAACTATTTTGAATAGCAGCTGTTAGGAAGCAACAATGGAGGAGGACTGTTTCTTGGCCTATGTTTATGACCTTCTGGAATACAAATGACCATGGTGCAGAATATCAAGTAAGCTTGGCCATTAGACTCATTCAGTAGTACTCTTGTGTTTTAGGAATGGCCCCCAAATGTGGACTGCAATATAGCAATAGCAATGCCACTTAGACTTATATACTGCTTCATAATGCTTTACAGACCTCTCTAAGTGGTTTACAGTGTCAGCATATTGCCCCCAACAATCCTCATTTTACTGACCTTGGGAGGATGGAAAGCTGAGTCAACCTTAAGTGCCAGTAGGATTCGAACTGCCAAAGTGCAGTCAGCCGGCAGTCAGCAGAAGTAGCTTGCAGTACTGCATTCTAACCACTGTGCCACCATGGCTCTTAGATAGATAAAATCTATCTAAAATAAGAGCCTTGGTAGTACAGTGGTCTAAGGCACCCTGTTATTAAGCTGGTTATTAAGACCAGCTGCCTGCAATTACTGCAGGTTCGAATCTCGCCAAGGCTCAAGGTTGACTCAGCCTTCCATCTTTTCTAAGGTAGGTAAATTGAGGACCCAGTTGTGGGGGCAATAAGCTGACTTTGTATAAATATATATACAAAAAGATGAAGGCTATTGCTGAGCACATTGTAAGCCCCCCTGAGTCTCCGGAGAAGGGCGGCATATAAATCAAATTAAAAAAAAAATGTCTGAAGATCCACTGAATCACTTCATGTTGCCTGGCCAGTAAATTTCAAAAGATGTAGAGAATGTCTTTCTGCAAAACATTCTATTTTTTCCCCCCCGGAAGCAAATTTTCCTGTTGCTTCATATTCATTCAACTGACATTAAATTGAATGAATTCAACTGACATCGAATGAATTAAGGATTTAGTCAAGGCAAAATCGAAGGAGACCTCTGCAGTTGAAGGATGCAGGTTGAAATTGGTCTGCTGAATGATTGCAAGACAGAAGGGAACTCATTGTCCTCCTTTAGTACAATCGTTGAAAAAAAGACAAGTATGTAGATTTTACAACCATACATATCAGGGGTGCTATTCACTTACCTTCACTACGGTTTGCAAATGTGAACGTGTGCTTGCGCACGCTCATGTGCACCTCCTCCACACATGCACATTCTGTGCATGCAGAGGGTCAAAAATGGGACGTGATGACGTCCGGGTGAGTGAGTGGAGCCTCCCGCCGCTAGCACTTCCGGATCACATGATCCGGATGGAGCCAGCTGAATTTCACCACTGATACATATCCTTACCTGAATTAATTCGGATTTTTTTGTCTCAGTTCATCACTTTATCAACCAATAAGAAGAATTACAACCATTCATACAATAGTAATTTATCAGGTAGAAAGGTAAATTAGTTTTTTTCCCATATAGAGAAGGATTTTCTCTGTCTCCCTCAGTCCAAAGCCCAGAAACAGTTTTATTAACATAATTAAAAATATTGTTGTTGTTGTTGTTTTGTATAGATAGAAAGTTGTAGTTACAATTCCACTGATTTTCCCATGGATAGCATGTTCAAAGTTAAAATTTTTGAAATATTAACCTGATTACAGAAAGTGAAAGCCCCACTGCATTCCAGGCACTCAATACATCAATGTGACTTGTCTTGCTAAGAAGGCATATGATGGATAGATGGATATTTTCTTTTAATTGTGCAGAACATTGAGAGTGCACCTTTCAAGGACACAACCCCAGCCGAAGTAACTTCATGAAGGGAAAAAATGGACTCATGCACTGAAGAGGAGCAGGCTCTTCAATTAGTAATTTTAAAAAGTATTTTTTAAAAAGGTATTTCGCGTCTCATCCAAGAAGCTTCTTCAGAATTCTTGGATAAGAAGCAAAACATCTTCAAGGAAAAACAAAGGAAGTCCAGTGGCCTCTTGAAAAAGCACATTTGGGACAACCATGACTTGTATGACTGAGAATCTCCACAGGTATTTTTAAATTTTTAAATTGGGTTTGTTTCTATTGCTATTGTGAGCAGTGCAAAGTTGTGACTGGATGAACAACCATGCATATCTTTTAAATAAATAAATTTGAATTTTATCCTGATTTATCCTGAATTACATTGAGACTAGGGAATCTGGGCGGGTTTAAATCCAAGTCCTTGGGACC